AGTTTGCCGCGCGCATCCTCGGACGCACGTAAGTTCCGTCCCCCTAAGGGCTGTGTTGCATTACGACAACCATTTCAAGCTAGGATCCAAAAATGGATTACTGTAGGAACCGCACTCCGCGCTGAATCTTCGTCTTTGTGCATCCTTACCTTGAATAATAAATAATTACTTTTTGTTTCTCTAGCTTTTCTGCAATTCGTGGTTCTCTATTTTTAGGGCCGAATAGGAATTACTAACCTTTACAAAGTTCTGAATCGCTCGGTCTTGTATGAACTGCTTGCAATCTTTCATTGTTGAAAAAATGTTTTCTAGAAGTCGCTCTCGTTCGTCATTGTTCAGAACCTGGTAAGAAATAAAGTCTGTAAGTGCTGGACCGTCATCAGTAGGGTCAACTTGAGTACCTTTTCCCAAAATAGCCGTGGTTGTTCGAAGTTGTTCTCATCAATTGATTCATGTCGAGCAACGTCTCCTGTCGTATTCCATCTACTCTCTACAGACCTCGGACATTCCACACCACCATTGAAGCTGTTCGGGAAGTAATTTGGAGCATTGCCTTAAATCACAAGCTTGAGAACTATGCGTGTCTTCTTCAAAAATGGGGATTCCAGTAATCAGGAAACTTGGAAGGGTGGGTTTGGGACTCCAGAGTTCAGAATTGGGGGGTATGTTTATTCTGCAAATTGAGGATGCGACAAGCAAGGGTGTGAAATATGGGGTGATAGGATAGAGATCGAGTTTTAGCGTTTTCGGCAGAGAAGGAGAAGTAAGTGCTCACATAAAGACCACTGTTCCAAAGCACATGACCTTCTGATCAGCACTGGGCCAAATGATACTGTCAAAGTCACCCTGATTATCGTAACAAGCGGCGCCATCTCGTTGAGTGTTGTGAGCTCGAGCCCGGAAAGGACAGTTGATCGGCAGCTGGTTGTAATTCGGTCCTAGACGGTGGAAGTGTGTATCTGTGTAGGAGAACAGTCGACCTTGGAGCATTTTGTCTGGGGAGAATTCAATTCCAGGAACCACATGAGCTGGAGAGAAAGCAGCTTGCTCCACCTGCAAATCGTCTGTGACTTAGCTGACAACCAAAAAGAGATGCCCTCATCATGCAAGGGCCACTTCGAATTTATTATGAACTGACCTCAGCAAAATAGTTCTTTGGATTTCTATTGAGTGTCATTGTTCCAACAGGAATCAGTGGAAATTCGGAATGTGGCCAAACCTTGGTGACGTCGAATGGGTTCAATCGCCATCTCTCTGCTTGCTCGAAGGTCATCACCTAGAGTCGAGAGATCCAGGTGATTGCGAATACTGAAAGGGCTTAATTACCTGGATGTGGAGTTTCCATTGTGGGAAGTCTCCCCTCTCGATTGCATTGTAAAGATCGCGAATCGAGTAATCAGGGTCTTCGCCCGAAAGCCGAGCGGCATCTTCTGCAGAGAGGTTCTTGATCTTTTGTGCCTGTAATGCAATAAGATTCATTCCATACTCTCTTGCCATCTATAAAGGTTTCCACTGGATAGTTTCTCAAGAAGGTAGGATGACGAAGATAAGGCGCAATTCACCTAATCTGCGATTTTTGAGTCTGTTTCTGGAAAGAAATGAATGGAGGTGCTGTAAGGGGTCCGGGAACTTCTCCCCTAACACGGCGTCGCACACGCCGCACCCG